CAAGCTCTGTAAAACCCCCTCACCTGAGCTGTCCAAGTAAACCCAAACAAACTCATCAGTTCCAAAGGCTGAGCTTTGGCGGAATCGTTGCTTTGATCTGTTACTGGTGCTTGCCTGAGGTGCCTAAACATTGGTTTTTGCCACCCTAGGAAAATGTCATGCACCAGTGAGTCAACAAGTCACAGGCCCTAGGGGGTCAAGGCAGAGGTTTTGGCAGGGAAGGAAGCCCTTACCCAAGGCCTGGAGGTTGGAGGAAGGGCTAGCTGGCACACAGGCTTTCCCTCACCCTGAAAGGTCTACGGCTTTCAGAGGGGGACCTGGGAGCAATGGTAAGATAGAGAGGCACCCCTGTGGTGCCAGGTGTTCAAGACAGATCAGAAACTGTCTAGCATGAACATTTCCCCACTCTTGTGGGAGCCCCCGCCCCCCCCATCTGCAGGGGTCCAGTGACACAAGGCCCTCTGGCCACCTGAGCTTGCTTTCCCTTGGTGGCCACAGGACACACAATAGTGTAAAAGCACTCTGTGCCCAACTGCAAGCCTAAGAACTACTTAAATTGTCATTTTTATCTCTACTTTCTTTCCTTTTTCTTTTTCTTTTTCTTTTTTCTTTTTCTTCTCCCCCCTGCCCCCAGACAGGGTTTCTCTGTATTGCTTTGGATGGAGCCTGTCCTGGAACTTGATGGGTAGACCAGGCTGACCTTGAACTCTCAGAGATCCACCTGCCTCTGCCTCTGCCTCCCACATGCTGGGATTAAAGGTTGTGGCACCAATGCCTGGCTCTCTATTTTCACCATAGGGTTTTGTTTTGTTTTTTAATTACAGCTCAGTGTGATGACACAGACCAGTGATTCCTGGAGACAAAGTCAGAGGATTGCTGTGAATTTAAGGCCACAGAATTCAAAGCCAGCTTGGAATATGTCGAGAGTGAAACCCTATCTAAAAAAAAAATAATCAGAAAGACTAGGGAAGTGGCCCCCGGGTTAGGGACACACACTGCTCTTTCAGATCCCCAGCACCCAGGTCAGGTGACTCACTGCCTGGAACTTCAGATCCAGAAAGATCCAACTCCTCTGGCCTCTGCGAATATCCTCATCCCTGTGAACCCACACACAGACACCTGCACATACACATAATTTAAAATAATAAATAAAAATTAACCTTTTTAGCTGGGTATGGTGGCACATGGGAGGCAGAGGCAGGGGAATCTCTGAGTTCAAGTCCAGCCTGGACAGCCAGAGCTACACAGAGAAACTTTATCTTGAAAACTAAAACCACAGCCAAACAAAAAAGAGGGGTAGCAGCTGTACTGTTACAAAAATTAGTATCATTAAAGAGAAACTGATTGTTCTTCACTGAGACAAAAGGAAAGAGTCCCCCAGGGATAACCCCCTTCCTTTGAAGGCTCCAGCTTCAAATTCATTTGAAAGGAAGAGAGACGGTGTCAGAAAGAGCAACAGTGCCGAGAGAAATGTTTTTACAGGTTTGCCCTGCACAGCTTTGGTCTGAGGGAGCCAGACTCCTCTTGGGTTGGCAGCAGAATGTGGTTGCATGGCACTAGTTTTGTAGACGTGTGAAATGCAAGATGCAAGGGCCATGGAACTTGATGGGTAGACCAGGCTGACCTCGAACCATGCACCAAAGTTCCAGAAAGCTCTGCAAACCAGGAGGTGTGTGGCAAGGTTCCCTGAAAAGAGGTTCCAGGAAGTAAGTGTGTGAAGCTGTGAAGCCTGTGTTACAATGTTAGAGACAGCAGGACGATGGGGTACCCACCAAGGAAGGCTTCAGGCACTGTAGGGGACAGAAAGCCACGCCTGGCTACAGGTGTGCCTGACCACGCCTGCCAAGGCGTGGTCAAGGTGAGGTCAGGATGACGTGGCATGGGCTCTTAAGGGGCTGCAGAGCACATGGAAGCCCCTTCTCCCTGGCCTTGCTGCTCGGCTGCCCTGGGCCCGCTCTGGCTTGTGTTTGGCTGGTATTTATCTCAATAAAGATATCTTGACGATGACGTGGCATGGGCTCTTAAGGGGCTGCAGAGCACATGGAAGCCCCTTCTCCCTGGCCTTGCTGCTCGGCTGCCCTGGGCCCGCTCTGGCTTGTGTTTGGCTGGTATTTATCTCAATAAAGATATCTTGACCATACGGACTACGGATCATCTCTCGTAGTCATGCAATAAGGCACAGCGTGGAAGTAGCCTACGGAAAAAGGCTTTTTGTGCTGCAGGCAGCAGAGCTGAAAGGGTGAGAACACCCAAGGCTATTCATGTCCAGGTCACACCATCAAGAGCGCCCCGGATGTCAGTCAGACATGGTGCTTCAGGGTTTGCTGTTGTTCCAGCTGGGTTCTGGTCTTGCTGTGGTCCAGTCTTGCCTTGCTGTGCCCTTTGGAATGGGAGGGCTGCTGTGTCCTCTTAGAGATGACATGTGCATTTTATAGTATGGATTGTCCAGGAGCCTTTGAAATGCGGCATGGAATATTATAGTTTAGAAGTAATGTGGGATTGGGCGTTGGTGTTGCACACCTTTAATCCCAGCACTCCAGAGGCAGAGGCAGGCATGTGAAAGAAAAAGAAAAATGAACAGAAAAAAAATTATGTATTTAGGTATCAAGATGGAAAGGGGTAGATTGACTGTGCTTTGGCGATTTATTTACTTATCTTTTATCCCAGTTAATCTTCACTGTCAACCTGACTGGATTTAGAACCACCTAGGAGGCACACTTTGGGGGGTGTCTGTGAGAGTGGTTCCAGAGAGGTTAAACTGAGTGTAGTCGGCGCCATTCCTTGGGCTAGGGTCCCATGTCATTGTCATCTTCCGTGGTCTTGTACTGTCCCTTCTCACCCCCCACTCCCCACCCCCGCTAAATAAAAGGAGAGGGGAGGCAAGCTCCCTCTGCATCCTGAGTGCAGAACTTTAGCCCCTGTCCTTTTGCTTTCTAAGGGTGGCTGGGAGTGATGGGAGGCCTGGGCTGGAGAGCTTAAAGGAAGGGAGACTTGTGCGAAGTGTTGAGTGCAGCCGGCCCAGGTAAGAGGCTCAGGGCTGATGTTACATTGGCCACTGCTCTGAGTAGGTACCTGCTGGACAGACAAATGGACAGATGAATGAAGTGGTGTCAGTGTTTCTCTGGGTCCGTCCTGTGTGTGCTGCCACAGAACAGGCCCACAAGAAGCTTTGATTCCCTTGACTCCATACCAGGGCCGGAAAGCTGATGGTTGGGAGACTGGGGAGCTTTCCCTGGATTGCTGGGTTTTATTTGGGGACTCAGCTGCTCCCTCCCTGCACAGCTGCTGCCAGGGGTCTGTCTAGGGAGCCACAGCTGTCCCCCTGGATGAAGCAGGTGTGGGGGAGGGGAGATGGTGCCTTCACTTAGAAGCCCGCTCAGACTATCCGGTGAGCTAAGGAGGGGCCCTGGATTAGAGTCACCAAGGCTAGGGTCCCTGATCCACTGCACAAAGATGGGGGCCAGTCCTTCTGCTCACTAGCAGTGTGGTCTGGAGAAGTCATTACCCCTCCTTAGGTATCACACTGGACAAACTAGGAGCAGTGGGGCTAACAGGGAAACCAGAGGTGTAAGTCTCAGGGTGGAATCCAAACGCCAGAGGTCTGAACCCTGACATTCAAGAGTCCAAGGATAAGGGCATCCAGCTGTGGAAAGGAGAGGAAGATTTTGTTTCTTCCACCTTTGTCCCCTTCTGGACCTACTGCTTGAATGGTGCAACGCAATGGCCAGCCTGAGCTACTCGAGACTCTACTTAAAAAAAAAAAAAAAAGAAAAGTTGTGACCAGTCATGGTCGTGCACACCTTTAGTCCCAGCACTTGGGAGACAGAGGCAGGCTGATCTCTAAATTCTAGGCTGGGTCTACAGGACAGCCAGCAGTCAGGACTACACAGAGAAACACTGTCTCAAAAAACAAATGAAAAAGCAAACAAACAAAAAAATCTTATCAATAGTTTCTTTCTTGCAACATAATGTTTTCAAGAGTTATCCATGTTGCCTGTCATTTCACGCACACACACACACACACACAGATTTTATTTTGACATATTTTTATTTGTTCGCGTGTGTGTTCCTGTGGGTGAGTGTGGGCATGTGTGATGAGCGTGCTATGCACATGTCAGAGGACAGCCTGTGGTATAGTCCTCACCTTCTACCCTGTTTGAAGCAGGGTCTCACTGAGGTTGTGAAGCTCAGGCTAACTGACGGAGGGCTTCCAGGGCGTCTGTCTCTGCCCTCAGCTCAGCTCAGGAAGGCTGATTATAAGTAGGTGTTCCAGTGTCTGGCTGTATGTTGGCTCTGGGGATCTGAACTCAGGCCCTTATACTTGTATGACAAACACTACCTACTGGGCCATCTCCCTGGCCTCATGAAGTGGTTTTGTTTGTGTTTCCCTGACAACAGATGATGATGGCTTTGTTTGATTCTCTTTGGAGAAATATCTGCAGGTCCTATGTTCTTTTCTCCTTTTTTTTTTTTTAGATGCCATTATTTTCCATGATACTATCTTTTAATTTTTTACAATGATGAATGAAAAAGATTTTATTTTTTAGTTTCACAGTGAAACTGAGTGGACAAGACAGAGGTTTGCCATACACTGTCCCTGGCATGCTTCCAAGGGACAGCTTGCTCTTGCTTCCTGTCCATCACGCGTAGGCAGCATTTCTTCCTTTCTTTTTTATTGCTTGGGAATTTCATACACATACATACACATACACACACATACACACACATATACACACACACACAGACATACACACACATACACACACATACACACACACATACACACACACACACATACACAGACACACATATACACACATACACACACATATACACACACACACAGACATACACACACATACACACACACATACACACACACACACACACACATACACACACACACATACACACACACACACACACACACACACACACGATATGTTTTCATCAAGTCCACCCCATTTCCTCCACTTTTCCTTCCTTCCTTTCTTCCTCTCCTTCCTCCTCTTCCTCCTGTTTTCTCCTGAAACTCCCCACCCCCAGCCCAGGCTGCGGTCTCTGGTCCTTTGTAGTCTCCAGCTGAGGAAGGGGAAGATGAGGAAGTGACTGGTCACCCCTGAAGCTCTCACACTGAGGTAATGCACTTCACTTCCACTCACATTTCCACAGCAAAGCGATCAGGAAGCCACAACTAATTTCAAGATAACATGCGATTTAACCCTGAGCGTCAAAGGGAGGCTCTCATGTCTGCGAGCGAGCGAGCGAGCGAGCGTCTCTAATGACTCACAGGTTACACACAGCCCTTCCATACAGGACTTGCAGCGCCTTCCTTCCCTGTGCCATCATTGGCTGTTCTCTAGGGGAAGTGGGCCTCAGCCTGTGGAGCCACCCAAGCTCGGCTAAAGAGACCATTTCTCCAACCGTGTCTTCTAGTAGGGGGTTTCCTAGGATTGGGGGGCGGGTGTTGTGAGGGGCGGCTGTCTGCTTGTGACTACTTCCTAGAAGAAAGGTAGGCAAACCTTTTGGAAAGGACCAGAAAATAAATATTTCAGACTTTTGGAGCCATATGACTAGCTGTTTGACTCTGCCATTGTAAAGCAAAAGCAGCTGTGTGTAATATGTAAATGAACACGGATGGCTGGGCGCCCATAAACTCGTATTTATAGACACTGAAGTTTGAATTATATCATTTTGGGCTACCACACCTAGCTTCCTGCGTCACAAAACCTTATTTTTTTTTCAGCCATTTAAGAAATCTATTGCCAGTTATAGTATTTCATACCTGTGATCCCAGAACTCAGGATTAGACAGAAAAATTGCCTGGCATTCAAGGCTAGCCTGGGATATATAGCAAGACTGTACATTTTTATTTTGTTTAGTTTCATTTTTCAAGACAGGGTTTCTCTGTGTAACAGCCTTGGCTGTCCTGGAACTCACTGTGGAGACCAGGCTGGCCTCTATTCACCGACATCCACCTTCCTCTGCCTCCAGAGTACTGGGGTAAAAGGTGTGCGCCACCATCTCCTGGCTAAGACTGTTTTTTTGTTGTTGTTTTTTGTTTTTTGTTTTTCAAGACAGTGTTTCTCTGTGGCTTTGGAGGCTGTCCTGGAACTAGCTCTTGTAGACCAGGCTAGTCTCAAACTCACAGAGATCCACCTGCCTCTGCCTCCCGAGTGCTGGGATTAAAGGCGTGCGCCACCACAGCCCGGCAAGACTGTATATTTTCAAAAAGCAAATAGAGTGGAAAGAGCAGGGCTTAGGAGGCGGCTCCGTGGGAAAAGTGCCTGACTTGTAATCTTGAGGTTCTGAGTTCGAATTCCTAACTCCTATATTAAAACCTAGAGGCAGCAGCAGGTCTCTGTAACCCCAGCACCGGGCACAGAGACATATCCATCCCCGGGGATGGTGGCCAGACAGTCTAGCCTAATGGCAAGTGCCAGTTTCTGAGACTCTGTCTCAGAAATATAAGGTGGACAGTGACGACGGTGCCTGTCCTTTCTGGCCCTCACACATGCACGCTCACACAAGAGCTTACACCACACACATGTACATATACATACAGAAATAGAAACCGGAAAAGCCATTCTTAACTTTGGCTGTACAGACACCGGTGACTTGCCGATGCGGCCCCTGGGCTGTGGCCTCAGCTCCTTTTCCTAACACCCGTGTCCCTCGCAGTTCCAGAGCCCAGTCTGCTGCTGAGCCACACGCACAGCTCCTCGCACTGCAGCTCACACCAGCACAGGCTGTGGCCTCTGGCCCGCCCTTCCCTTCCCACTCATTCCTTTCCTCGGGAGCACAGCCTCTTTTCCCCGATACGATCAGGTCTCACGTGGTGGCCCTGCATGCTCTCCACCCATAACCTTGTCATGTCATGCCCAGATGTGTGCAGATGTATTTGCTTCTTTTGCAGCACCGAGAGCTCCAGGAAAGCAGGGCCCTTACCCTCCTGTGATCTGACCCCAAGCCGATGTGGTTTGCATCTGGGAAACTCAATCCCCAGTCAGCCTCTTGGGAGTGGACATGGGACCTGTTGTGTTGACGCTGCTAATGTGAGTGGATTCTCGTTTTGGAAATGGGCTCATTATCAAGCTGAGTTCAGTCTCTTTCTTTCTGACCCCTTCTCTTGCCCTTTTGTCCTTATACCATGGGATAACACAGCAAACCAGTCCTGGCTACAGGCAAGGCCCTGGCCTTGGGCTTCCCAGCCTCAGACCTCCCAGCTTCCAGACAGAGAGAGAGAAAGAGTGTGTGTGTGTGTGTGTGTGTGTGTGTGTGTGTGAGCACGTGTGTTGCATAGGGCACCAATAATAAGGTCCCCTGCCTAGGGTAACTGGGAGTGTGGGAGCCTTGTGGCCAGGCTCTGTGCACGGTGCCTGGCATCTGCTGAGTACTGAGCTCTATATGGTCTTTGTACTCTGACGTCCACAGGCATGACTGCCACTTGGTCCTATCCACCACAGGCCACATCTTCCTTTGGAACCTGAGATTGTAGCCTGGGAATCCATTGCTTGCCCTTTTGATAAGGCTCTGGGTAGGATGCTGGAGATGGAGTTCTAGGCTGTTCCCTTTCATCCCTGTCAGAGTGAGTCTAGCTGAGTGAATAGACTGGCAGTCCGGGGGTAGGCCCTGACCTTGAATTAAAGGATTCCAGCATATATCCTTTAATTCTGTATGTGTGTGAAGTTCTCACAGCATACAGTATGTCATTGTATGGTACGTCCTAGGCTCATGGCACATACCTATAGTCGCAGCTATCCAGGATTGCAAATCAAGGCCTGCCCGGCTACACACGAGTTCAAGGCCAACCAGTGTAACTTGGTGAGATCCTGTCTTAAAATAAAGGTTTAAGGGTTGGAGAGATGGCTCAGCAGTTAAAAGCACACTAACTGCTCTCCCAGAGGACCAGAGTTCAATTCCCAGCACCCACATGGCAGCTCACAACTGCCTGTAACCCCAAGGTCTGACACCCTCACAAAGACATGCGTGCAGGCAAAACACCAAAGCAAATAAAAATAAATTGCCTAGTGGTGGTGGTTGCCCACGCCTTTGATCCCAGCACTCGGGAGGCAGAGACAGGTGGATTATTATTATTAATTAGTAATTAAATCAATTTTGTTTTGTTTAATCTTTTTTGATTCCTTTTATTTTAGGTATATGGATGTTTTGCCTATATGTATGCCTATGCACCATGTATATGCAGTGCCTGCAGAGGCCAGAAGAGGGCACCAGATCCCCTGGAACTGGAGTGACAGACTGTTGGCTGCCACGTGGGAGCTGGGAATAGAACTCAGGTCCTTTGGCAGAGCAGCAGGTGCTCTTAATAGCTGAATCATCTCTCCAGCCACCAATTTCATTTAATATTTGAGAGGGATTTTTGTTGTATTGCTGTGGCTAGCCTGGAACTCCTGGTCTCCACAGCTTAGATTACACCACACCTGTCCTTCATTCTTTTTGTTAGTTTTTATATTTCAAAATAGGGTTTTCTATGTAGCCCTGGCTGTCCTGGAACTCGGAGATCCACCTGCCTCTGCCTCCTGAGTGCTGGGATTAAAGGTGTGTGCCACCAGTCCTGGCTAAGTATTTAATGTTTATTTATTAGTTTTAGAAAGGGTCTAATGTACCCTTGGCTTACCTACAATTCACTATGTAACTGAAGAGGACCTTGACCTTCTGACACTTCTGCCTCTACCACCAAGTACTGAGACGACAGGAGGGCACTTCCTTCCTTCCTGCAGGAAGTGCTGGGAACCACGTAGCTCCAGGCATCTCTGCTCTTCTTACTGTCTAGCTGAGGGTAGGCTGGAACCACTAGGTAGCCCAGGCATGTCTTGAACTCTCAGAAATCCTGCTGCTCATCTCCCCGAGTGCTGGGATTATTCGTGTGAGACATCAAACCTGGCTCCTGTGCTGGTTCTTCATCAGCCCAGTGTCCCTGAACAAGTCATTGTCTAGGTGGGCAGTCTCTGATTCCGAAGGGTGCTCAAACAAGGGGTCACCTTGGTATGTCCACCCTACCTCTGCCGATGAAACTGGCTTTGTGGGCGTTTGGCTCTCCTCAGCCCTCATAGCTGCCTCTCCCAGTTAGGTTGTTTGTCTTGTCTGCTTTATTGTTCATTTTGCAGAGTTGGGCTCAAATCTGAGGAAAATGAATTGACTCTCCCACTACTCCTCACTGCTTCTGAAGACTTTCTTCTCCCAATCCTTTTTTTTTTTTTTTTTTTTTACGACAGGGTCTCTTACAGCCTAGGTTGACCCTCAACCAAGTGCTCGGACCATACCTGGTTCTCCTCCAGGGATTTCTAAGATTTCCTAAGTAGTACCTTGGGACAGGCCCTGCCCCTTTCTCAGAGGAGCCTAAAGTCCAGGAAGTTGGGGTAAATGGAAGGCCTGCCCTGCCTCTGCTAAGGAGGGTATTAGGTAAAGGAGCCTGTGGACCCCCCCCTCCTACCAAGAGCCCCACACTTGCTGGGGGCTATTGTCTGTCAGGCCTGGGAGAGACCCAGGGACAGGGACCCCAGCAAAGCAGAAGCTAAGGGCTTCAGGGGGACTGCTGGGGAGGTGGTGGGCATCCTTTTACCCTTCCTATATCACCCCCAGCACCCCAAGAGGTGCACCTTGCTGGGAGGACCCCAGATGCTTTATCTCTGGTGGGGAGGGGGTCCACCTGGGAGACAGGCAGACAGACCAGCTCTGTGTGTGGGGGTGGGGTCTAGTGAGGGAGAGATAACAAACTAGAGCCAAGAGCCACGTAACTGTAGAGATAAGGCCGAGGATGGGCTGGGGGAGGGGCTGAGTGGCAGAGAAATGGGAAGGGTCCAGGCGGAGGAGATGTGAGTGATGAGGCCCCAGCCACCTGGGAAGACCTGGAATAAGGTCTTCTAGGCTGAGGAATAACACGGGGCGACAGGGCAGCTTAGGATGGAGTGGAGGCCAGCTGTAGGGGGCTTGGAATTTTATCTCCAATGCAGCAGGAAACCCAGGGTGGGTGGTAAGCAGGGAAGTATATCCTGTCTTCCTTTCTTTTTGAGATTGGGTCAGACATAGTCCCGGTTGATCTTGAAGAATGATCCTGAATTTATTATTTGTGTGAGACTAGCTTGTGGGGGAGGGAGTGAGTGAGGAGGAGGTGTGTGTGTGTGTGTGTGTGTGTGTGTGTGTGTGTGTGTGTATTTGTATGGAGGTCACAGGACAGCTCCGGGGAGTCGGTTCTCTCTGTCCACTGTCACATGGGTTTGGAGGATCAAGCTAGGCTGCCAGGCCCTGGAACTTCTGATCCTCTTGCCTCTACCTCCCTAGTGCTGGGAGTGTAGGTGTGTGTTACTGTGACCTCGTGTGACGTGCTGGGGATAGAATCCAGGGGCTTATGTATGTATATGCTTCACAAGTGCTCTTCCAACCGGGCTGCATGCCCAGCCTCTGCGCCCACTCTCCTCCACCCCCCAGCCTCCACGCCCACTCCCCTCCACTCCCCAGCCTCCACGCCCACTCTCCTCCACTCCCCAGCCTCCACGCCCACTCCCCTCCACTCTGTCTCCTCTCTAGTCTCCATTTCAGATGCCTTCTCGGACTATCTTGAGGAGAAGAGATGGCTCCTTGGGAGGGTGTCCCAATGGAACCCTGCAGAAGGTCTCATCTGTCACTCCTAAAGGCAGACGCTTGTAAGCAAGGGGCAAAGGGAAGCCAGTCTCAGTGGGTATGGACATAGTCGGCAGTCTTGAGGAATGAGTATACACAGTGTCATCGTGTCCTGGACCACGAGAACCATGCACTCTTGTCTCCATCTCTGCCTGTCTGTCTAAGGGGGGGGGGCAGTGTGAGCTCGTTTGTCTTTTTTCTAATCCAGCAAACTCAACGAGGGAGTCGAGGGGATGGGAGGGGAGAGAGTTATCAACCTTGTGGACAAGGGGTGGGTCCTCAGACAGGAAACCACAAGTTGGAAGGCAGTTTGTAGATGGAGAAAACAGCCTTCTCTGATGGTCTGAGCCCGAGTCTGCCCACACTGGGCAGGCTCCTGGGAGGCCAGAGCTAGGGTCAGTGTTTGCTTCCCTGGCAATGACTTTCTGCTTTAGTGTATTTTCTGTTCCAGCCTGACTCCTGCACAAAGCCAGCCGGCCTGAGTTAATGAGCTCTCGCTGCTGTGTGCTGAGCCTAGGGAACTTAGTTTTAGTGCAGTGCAGACCACCAGCCAGGCAGGATGTCACAGCTGTGGCCATGATCATTCCAGAAGGGATGGCAGTACGGGGAGAGGAGGCAATCAGCAGCAGAGCAGTCTCCTGGCCCTTAGGAGGTAGTCTGTGAGTTGAGCCATGAGAGACCAGGTGGGCATGTGAACTCTGGGGAAGGAACCCCACACAACTCGGGGACTCTCAAGTTAGACATTCCTGTGGAGACTGCTCTGAGACTCAGGTTGGGTCCCTTTCAAGGAGTCTATAGGGCCCAGAGGCATGCATTCTACAACCAGTTTTCTTGGGAGGCTTCTTAGAGATAGAAGGGTTCTGGGGCTAGATGGTGGCATGTGTGTGTAATGCCAGTGCTTGGGGCTGAGGAGGGAGGTCATGAGTTTGAGGCAAGCCCAGGCTCTACAATGAGGTCCTATCTCAAACCAACAAGAACAAACAAATAAATAAATAGGAAGTGAAGTTCCCTGGGGTGTCTGAATAAAGAAAGGGTGGGTGACTGGACAGGAAAGGCCATGAGCTCCTCACTTCCCTCAGAGCCTTCCGTTGGCAGGGTTCCCTCTCCCCAGCTGCCACTCTGATAGGATAGAAAGTAGGTAGGGGTCTGGCCGAAGAGGAACTCATGGGACAAAAACACCTCGGTGGCTTTCCTGTGAAAATGGGTCACCTGTGCTGGCCCTGATGCCCTGCCATGCCAGAGCTTCAGCAGCAGGCCATTGGACAACCTAGGACAGACAGCCAGGGCTGATACACTGACCAGGAGGGGAAGCCTGTCCCACTCTGTGGTCCAAGCCCAGTGGAATAAAATCTGTGAAGACTCAGACTGTCTGTGTGCCTGTTTCCTCCTCTATTGCTTAGTCCTGTGTGTGTGTGTGTGTGTGTGTGTGTGTGTGTGTGTGTGTGCAAACACATGTAGGTCAAAGGACAACCTCCCATGTCATTCCTCAGGCGATGCCCACTTTTTTCCTTCTTTTTTTTTTTTTTTTTTTTTTTTTTTGAGACAGGTTTTCTCTGTATAGCCTTGGCTGTTCTGGAACTCTACATGCTGTAGACCAGGCTAGCCTGGAACTCAAAGATTTGCCTACCTCTGCCTCTATCACAGGGCTTGTTTTTTTTTTTTTTTTTTTTTTTTTTTTTTTTTTTTTTTTAGAAACCATGGCAGGGAGGAACGGAGACAGGATCTTTTCAAGTAGCCCTGGCTCCCACTTCTGAGTGGTAAGACTACAGGCGTCTGCTACCCTGCCTGGTTTATTCAGTGCTAGAACTCAAACCCAGGGCTTTGTGCACGATGAACAAGAACTCTCCCAACTGAGATAAGTCTTCAACTTTGTTATGTTCCTTTCTTTCTTCTTCTTTGTTTAAAATTTTATGTGCATGGGTGTTTTGCCTGCATGTGTGCCTGTGTACCACTTGGATGCCTTGTGCCCATGAAGGCCAGAAGAGGGTATCAGATCCCCTGTAACTAGAGTTACACATGGTTGTGAGTCACTATGTAGATACCGAGAATTGAACCTGGGTCCTCTGTAAGAGTAGCCAGTGCTCTCAATAGTTAAGCCATCTCTCCAGGCCCTATTTTTTGTTTTGTTTTGTTTTGTTTTTTTGTTTTGTTTTTTTGTAACAGGGTTTCTCTGTGGCTTTGGAGGCTGTCCTGGAACTAGCTCTTATAGACCAGGCTGGTCTCGAACTCACAGAGATTTTTTTTTTTTTAAGTTTTTATTTATTTATTATGTATTATACATTCTGCTTCCATGGATATCTGCACACCAGAAGAGGGCAGCAGATCTCATAAGGGATGGTTGGGAGCCACCATGTGGTTGCTGGGAATTGAACTCAGGACCCTTGGAAGAACAGTTGGTGCTCTTAACCTCTGAGCCGTCTCTCCAGCCTGGAGACCTTGTTTCTTAAGCAGCTTTATTGACATGTAATTCATCTATTCACAGTATACAGTTGATTCTTAGTATATTCATAGAGTTAAGTAACCATCACCATAACCATCACAATGATGGAATAGTCCATTACCTCACAAAGAAACCCAAGGGCTGGCAAGATGGCTCAGCAGGTACAGGCTGTTGTCACCTTGAAAGCCTGATGACGGGAGATCAATCCCTGGAGCCAGTTGTAGCAGGAGAGGATGACTCTGGAATTTGTCTTCTGTCTTCCATATGTGTGCCATGGCATGTTCATGCCTGCATGGGGTGTGGGGGAGGAGAGAGAGAAGCCCCTGAAAGCAGCAGGGAGCTTGCCTACTGAGTGAGACCCTGGATTTGACCCCATTATTGGCCATAACCTGCCCTGCTCACCTCCAGCCTGACACCCACCGGTGTTCTTTGAACACCTCGTATGCGTATGCGTTAGTCTGTCTCAAACTTGTGTATTTACAGGGAATCATCACATGCCAAGGCTTTTGTGAGAGACTCCTTTCACTTCCTGCAATGTTTTTCAGGTCCTTCCCTAGGGAGGCAATGGACTGTCTGCCTTTCTATGACAGAATCCTATTCCAGCGTGTGAGCAAACCACATTTAACCACTCATCCTATGACAGCCATTGTGAGATTGTGCATGGTACTTCTAAGAACATGCGTACACATGCCTCCCTAGGAACATGCTTTCAGTCCTCTGGAGCAGGTATGTCAGAGTGGGATTTATGGGTGAATCGGTAGCTCTGTGCTTAACTTTCTGAGAATTTCCAGCGTTTCCCAAAGCAGAGGGGCTGTTCAACGTTTCCACTCCCAGAGGGTTCCAATGTTTTCACCGCAGTTGTTACTGTCTATCTTTCTGGTGGCCGCTGTCATAGCAGGCGTGTCATGGCTGCTCATTTGCGGTGGGTTTTGTTTTTTGCAGCACTGAATCCAGGGTCTTGCACATGCCAGGCAAGCACTCAAACAATGAACTACTCTAAGTTCAAAGCCAGCCTGGTCTACATAATTTTCAGGACAATCTGACACACATAGACTTCCAGGCCAGCCTGGGCTTCAAAGTAAGACTGTATCAGAAAGTCAATGTGCACACATATATAATACACAGTATGCACACATATGTATTTAGACACGTAATACACATGACAAAAAGCTGTGCTCCTGGTTTTTCTTCTGTTTTACGATTTTAATTCTTTCTTGTAATTAGGTCTATGATTCACTTCACTTGTTGAGTTGTTAACATATTAAGCAACAAGCCAGTGATAGGTCTAGTATCTCTTGTAACTTTGAAGATAAGTACAGATGTTCTAAGACGCTTCCAGTGCAGTGTGAGATGCAGCACGGGTGACAGGGTCCTGGGCACTGCTAATGCCATCCACGCCCTGTGGTTCCTCTCCCAGGTCCCAGGTTCATGGTCTCCTGAATGCTTTCCATTCAGCTCAGATTTAAAATTCCTGGCATGGCTAAAAGTCTCAGTTTCTAAACTAACCTTTTTCTTTTCTTTTTTCTTTTTTTCTTTTTTGCCAAGTAGAATGTTCTAGAAAGGGGGAGAGGGGGGAAAAATGTTCTAGTAACAAGTCATCTAAAATAATCATAAAATACCAACACTAACCATCAACATATTATTATTTATTTACTTGTTTTGGGGTTGACCTCAAATCTCAAGGCTAAGCTTGAACTCTTGATGCCCTGCCTTTACTTCCTGAGTTGCCGTGGTTACAGCTGTGCACAGCCATGCCTGGTTTGTGTTCGGAAGGGAAATGAACCCAGGGCTTCCCACATGCTAGACTAGGCCGGAACTCTACCAATTGGGTTATAGCCCAAGTCTGCAACATTGTATTAATTAGGAATCAAGACAAGGAATTTCACATGTATCCTTGTGGGGGTCCCCAGGGTTCTCCTCCTGGCTCCACAGCTCTGTGGCTTGGATGTGTCCTTTTTCCCACTGCTCTTAAATTAAATCCATGACTTCAGGCAAATCAGTTCATCTCTCATTGCCTCAGTTTCCTTATCTGTTATGTTGGGATGATGTATTTACTGAAGAGTTATTAAAAGGGCTTTTGAGGCAGAGGCAGGTGTATCTCTGTGACTTCGAGGCCAGCCTGGTCTACAGAGTTAGTTCCAGGACAGGCTTCAAAGCTACAGAAAAACCTTGTCTCAAAAAACAAACAAAAAAGGCTTTTGATTGCAATGCTTAAAAACAGAACTCTGTTTATGATTCTATGTTTAGGGGAGGCTAGCTTTTTTGTTTGTTTGGTTTTGGTTTTCAGTTTTTGGAGACAGGGTGTAATAGCCCTAACTATCCTGGAACTTGCTTTGTAGACCAGGCTGGCCTCAAACTCACAGAGATCCACCTGCCTCTGCCTCAAAGGTGCTGGGGTTAATGGGGAGTGCCACCACCATCCAGCTCAAGGCTAGCTTTTTGACTGCTTATCTCGTCATTTGTATCATTCAGGCCTCTTGAGTTGTAACAGAAATCCATATCCATCAATTTAAAGGCTACGGTTTTGTGCTTGTAATATAGGGATGGAGTAGGCTGAGGGAGAGTGCAGACGGGTCTCCTTCTGCCTAAGGTTACCCTCCATTTTGAGTGATGGAGGTATGGGGAGGGGCTTCCTAGAGAAGGAACCAAATTAGGGTGGGGGGGCAGGATGCCCTAGGTATATATATCATAGCAGCTGAGAGCCCTGGAACTCTGGCTTGTCTTACTCAGCTAGGCCTGTCTTAGAGGCTCTGGGCTCCTCATCTTAGGTCCTGACCTCAAAAAGGATGATGACTTCTAACAAAAGTTCTAGAAAGGTCCGGGTGGTGGTGTCCCACGCCTTTAATCCCAGCACTCAGGAGGCAGAGGCAGGAGGATCTCTGTGAGTTCGAGGCCAGCCTGGTCTACAAAGCTGCACAAAGAAACCCTGTCTTGAAATACCAAAAAAGAAAAAAAAGAAAAAAAAAAGTTCTAGAAAGGGCGATGATGACTGTCTTGGCTGTGTCATATGCCCATGCCTGAGCAACCACTCATAGACAGGAACATATTTTAATGTCAATTCTGATTCACATGTAGGTCAGGAATTCTGGACTCCAGGAGCCAACCAGACAGAAGAGGATGTTGGGGCTAGACGGGAGGGGTGGAGTTGGCCCTGAAGAATGCTAAACTGATAGGAAGCGCTTCCCCATATAACCCACATCTCAGCTGGATTTCACTTGTTCCAGGGATCCCCTTTTCCCAGGGAATTGGCTTCAGCCTGTGTACCCGCGGTAGCTTGTGCTCTTGTCACTCACTCTTCCCTTAACATCCAGTGAGCACCTGCTGTACCGGAGGCACAAAGAGGAAATCACAGATCAGAAACCCAGGCGATTATAGGTTAGAAGGAAGGGGCGGGGCTGCAAAGGAGGCTGGGGGGCGTGGCCTGTGAGGTAGAAAAGTGAGAGTGAGGATGTCCAGAGAGGAATGGTCGGCTCAGGTGCTTCTGGAAGGCTCGGTGCTACCAATAATTGGCTACTGTACAGGGCAGCGGGGAAAGAGGGAGGGAAGGGTGGAGACAGCAGCCTTCAGGTGGGGTGAGGAGAGAGTGCGGTGGGAGGGAACAGAGAAGGCAAGTGTAGACTAGCTTCTGATGAGTATGTTGGCCAGGGGAGTAGAGAAGTGGAGCCAAGGCTAGAGGGGCCTAGGAAGCCGGTCTCCTTTGAGAATACTGGTCCAGTGTTAGCCTGGATGGCAGTTCAGGGAAGACAGCAGCGGTGGAAGAGTCTGAGGAGGTGTGTGCAAGATAGGGGTGTGTGTCAGCTTGTGGACTCCAGGAGCACTCCTGCCTTGAGGGCTTTAGCTTTTTTCAAGGTAGGAGGTCAATCTTGGCCTAGGAGCTTGGGAACAGTGGCTGTGGAGGAATAAGAAGATAGAGCTGAGGTTGTTGTGGACACTGACTCAGTAGGGCTACTAGTGTATGGAGTAGCGTCGTCCCGTCTTTTTTTTTTTTTTTTTTTTGGTTTTTCAAGGCAGGTTTCTCTGTGTAGCTTTGGAGCCTATCCTTGCATTTGGTCTGTAGGCCACGCTGGCCATGAACTCATGGAAATTCGCCTGCCTCTGCCTCCCAAGTGCTGGGATTAAAGGCTGCACCACCAGCGCCCAGCTTGGAGTAGCACATTCCCCATCACGGAGTTATGTGTGGACACTACCCCAACAGCAACAAGAAAGGGGATTTCCTTCATTCAGGTTGAGGGCCCCTTATGGCAGAGGGAGGGAACGTAAGGCTGGAGGAGATGAGTTACTCTAAAGCATCCACCAGGAAGCCAGTCATGGTGACTCATGCCTTTACTACCAGCACTGAGGAGGCAGAGGACAGCTTGGCCTCCGTAGTGAGTTCCAGGCCAGCCAGGGCTAATATTGAGACCCCCGTAAAAGAAAAACATAAACAAAAACCAAAAAGCCAACCACTGTTGCTATCTGGTTTTTATGAATAAGGAAGCAGAGATGTGGCCAGCCAATTGGTATCCATGTGGCTGTGTGGTCAAACTAGAGTAGTGTCTGTGTTAGAGGACATATTTGTTTAAAAAACAAAACAAAAAAAGCAGGTATGGTAGCTTTTGTTTTTCACACCACTCATTTGGTGGTAGAGGAATGAGAAGGATTGCTGTAAATTTGAGGTTAGCGTTATCCACAGTATGACACAGTATGAAAACTTGTCTGAAAAAAACCATAGCTGTTGGTGGTGTGGCACGCCTTTAATCCCAGAACTGGGAGGCAGAGGCAGGCAGATCTCTGTGAGTTCGAGACCAGCCTGGACTACAGAGTGAGTTCCAGGACAGTTAGGGCTACACAGAGAAAACCTGTCTGGAGAAAACAAATAAACAAAAAACAAAACAAAAAAGCCCAACCATGGGGCTGGAGAAGTGGCCTAGTGGGTAAGATTATGTATGTACTGCTCTTGCAGATGACTTGACTTTGGTTCTTAGAACCCAGGTGGGATAGACAGTTCACAAGCTTCTGTAAATCCAGCTCCAGGAGACACAGCACCCTCTTCTCACCTCTGCAGGCACCTGCATTCTCTCTCTCCCCCCTCCACATACATACATAATATCTCTTAAAAAACCACTGTAAGCCGGTGTTGGTGGCTCACGACTTTAATCCCAGCACTCAGGAGGCAGAGGCAGAGGCAGGCAGATCTCTGAGTTGAGACCACCCTGGTCTACAAGAGCTAGTGCCAGGACAGCCTGCAAAGCCACAGGGAAACCCTGTCTCGAAAAACCAAAAAAAAAAAAAAAAAACAAAACAAAAAAAACAACCCCCCCAAAAAACCCAAAAAACAAACAAACAAAAAACAACACTATAAATTAAGCCAGGCATGGCAACACATAACTGTAATCCCAGTACGGGCGGTAGATGCAGAGTCATCCTCAGCTATGTAGGGAGTTCAAGACCTGCCTGGGTTAAAGGAGAAACTGTCTCAAATAATAACACCCAACCAACAAACCAATCAAATAACCAATTGGAAGGTTCACTGAGGCACCCGAAGTTACAATCTAGCAAGGTTTCAGGGCTGACTGGTAGGGTGGGGTAGGCAGTAGAAGGGAGTTCAAATAAACCCGTGAACCTCAGCTTCCTTCTTCCCAAGCCCATGCTCCCTTTCCATGGCTGGTGGGGTGGGGGAGGGCACCCTGGATCAGGGCCTAGACTAGGGTGAGGCAGGCAAGCTGCCCTGGATGCAACATAGTAGCTGAGAGCTGAGAGCCATGGGATCCCAGCTTGCCTTACCAGGCCTGCTCTAGAGGCTGTGGGCTCCCTTTCCATAGGTCCTGACCCTACAAAGAGGGGGCACCTTCTAGCAAGTGGCTGCAAGCTTGGGGTTCCAGTGGGTAGGGAAGGTGACCTTTGTGTTGGGTGACCCCCTCCTGTCCTTCTACTAAGTAACTCTGATCACCGTTGTGCCCTGTAGGTTAGCTTCAGTCTGTGGTACATCTTGAAAGGCAGGGAAGGAGCAGGTCCGAGCGTCTCTGGCCTCAAAGGTTCAGCCCCGCAGTAAGCCCTGGCTTCGCCGGGTTCCTGTCCCAGAAGGTCACCCCTGATTCCCACCTCTGGTTTTGCAGATATGCC